CTAGCCTCAGTATTGCCCACAGTGCATCATCCTAGAAAAAGATTTGCCTAGAATGCTGCTTTATGTCGAAGAACAAGCCAGGACTCCACTGTGTGTGCTGGGCAGCTGAATTATTAATAAAGCTGCTGAAATTTTGAGCATTTACATTGTTTGAGTAAAAAACCTTGCAGCCACAACATACACTTTCCACAGCTCATACAGCTAACTACTGTAGGATTATTATCAAAGGGGCAACCTAAAACAAACTCTTAACCAAATGCACACAAATATAACTGTTAAATGAAAGTAAATGTAGTGCATTTAAAGTAAAGGTTTACCAAAATCAGCAGCCGAGTCACTTTATTTGATGTTTTTTGTAATGCACATTAATGGTTTGCCTATCCTGTTCCACAGTCTACTGCAATACTGCCACAGTTCCCATTAATTACTTAGTTTGAGCATTCAATTAATCAGTCCGTATGATGGCGTGCTGAATTATTAATGCCTGCAGGAAATACTACCAAACGTTGTGCAAAAATGGCAGCATCATTAGTTTGCCATCCTATTTGACTAGAATAATATTGAAAGAATAGTCTGAAAATAAAATCATACAAATCTATTTGAATTAGTCTCACTCTTGTGTACTGTACATTGTTTGTGTCAGTCTGTGCAAATCTAAACAAACAAGTTAATTATAGTCATGTTATAACAGATTATGAATCAACAATATGAAGTCCTCTGGACATGTAATTTCTCAAAAAGTAGAACTTTGTGCTGTTTTCAAATGAATCACAGTGGCTTTATCAATATTCTGCCAAAGGCTGGTGCTTTGTCCCGTACTGAAATCTTTTTAGTCAAAATACATTTAAAATGTTTGATTCTGAAAGAATTATCAAAAATAATTATGGTGACCACGGAGGAGAAAATGTAGTATTGCACTATTAAATGTTGTGCACGCCATTACGATTGTGCTTATATTTTGTTTGTTTTAAGCGCTTCCTCTCACAGCAAGAATATAATGGATTGTGCAGTAGAAGTGAAAAGTAGAAGTGTGGTGAGACTTATTTAAATGAAAAATATGTAACAGTATTCCCCTGTGTTATTCCCACTAACAGGGTCCGCATATATGAAAGTAATGAACTGAACAGTTAATTTCACACAAAGTGCAGAAGGTATATACAAAGTGTTTCGTGCATGTTTACATCTGAGACTATGTAAGGGCTCTCTGGGAATCATATTATCAGTGCACAAAAACATTTCAGTATAACTCTGATTGCATGTTTTGGGCTGTTGTCATGCTGCAGAATGCATTTGTGCCTGGCCTGGATGTGTCCTTGATGGTACTGTGTGATGGATAAGAATTTGCCTGTGAGCTTAGGATTTACAAGACCAGTAAAAGTTCTATCGTGCAAAGAATCTCGGTTGCCTGCAGACATGCTTTATTTTGGAGCCCTCAAGTCCTTCAGCAGACAAACTGCCAAATATTTTGCATTTTGGCTCATTCCAGAACATTTTTAGGGAGGGCATTTTTTCTGTATAGTAGTTCTTGTGTTTTCAAAAATAGGTGCAACAGTAACTGAGGAATTGCTCTTCTGGCCACAAATCCTCCCTAAAGGGTCCTTTTGAGCAGACTTCTCTGAACTGTAGGCAAGTATACCAGGGTCTCACTGATTTCTGCCAATTCTGAGCTGATGGAGCTGCTGGGTCTCTTCCATTTTTGAAGGGAAGTCAGCTTGACTTTTGTCTGCTGCACTCAAGTTTCAGTGGCAAACCACTGCGTTTCCAGTCCTTACCCTAGCCTGTTTTTTGTGCCTCTGCAGAGCAGCTTAGATAGCCCATTTGGAAACACTTGTTTGCTACAAGACATCTGCCAGAAAGAGTTTGCTGATGACCACCATGTGGCTTGTGTTATGCTCACTCTTGCCATGGTCTAAAGGTGTCTCTTTCCACCATGACAATCTCATATTTGATATTAACCCATTTACAAATTGCACCGTTCATTAGCACTTGCCTGCTGTAACTGCTTAATTATCTCCTGTGACGTCCCCAGCTCGTCTCGTCTCTCTCTGTGTCTCTCGCTCTCTGTGTTTAGTCAGTCTGAGTGCGCTTGTCACTTCCTGTTTTATTTTGACAGACCCTCGTCTCATGTGCATTGTGTTCAGTTTCGCTTCCGTCTTGTTACTGATTTATTCCTCCTGTTGTCCCAGCTGCCTCCACTTCCCTGATTACCCTATTGTGTGTATATTGTCCCAGTCTCCCCTTGCCTTTGGCCAGATTGTCAGTTCTACCTCCATCGTTCTCGTCCATGTTCCATGTTCTTTGTGTTTAGTTTTGCCCAGTTTGTTGTTAGTGAAAGTCTGAGTCTCATGTTGCTTTTTTTATTTCGTTTGATTTTCTGCAGCCTTACTAAACGGCTTGCTTTCATTAAGTTTATTCTCCTAGCATCTGCATTTGGGTCCTCGTTAAAACGTGTGACACATTGTCTAAGTAGAAGTGCTGCTCCACATTCCTAATGAAAAATATAGTTATTACTGATCATTTTGCTACCATTTTGTTGTGAAGTATCCTTTTGCTGAGCAGAGAACAGTTAATTTTGAAATTACAGAAGCAAATAATTTAGCCAGTGTCATAGTTTTTTTTTGTTATTGTTAATGTTGAAGTGCCTGATTGTCATTTGGATAGCAGAATAAAGTAAAATGTAAAGTGTGGTACTTATTTTACTAAAAGTTCACATGTTTTATAGTAACATTTCTTTAAAACTATATGTCCACAGTGAACTGCTTAAGGTGGAAAAAGGAGGAGCCTTTCCCTCATTAAGATCTGGAACATTTGCAACTTGCTGCCTCCTTAAATAATCGTGGATTTTAATTAAAATTGACCTTTACAGAGGTAAGCTTTGAAAATAGCTGAATCCTATGAGGAATGAAGGGTCTCCATTGAGAACATTCACACATGCTGGACTTAGTTATTGTTACCCTCTAATCTCCATTATGGTACACACATTCCTCCTAACAAGACAGCCTATAAGGTATAAAAAAGTTGAACTGCCTTTTTGGGTAACCCAAACTTTTAAAAACAAACAGACTGGACTACGACTGGCAGCGAAACTAATCGAATAAGCTGCACAGTCTGACACGATAACTCAGTGGTGTTGCGGTACTGTCATTTTTTTAAAAACCCTATAGACTAGAGACTAAAGTAGCTAATCAAGGAAACAAAAACAAACTATGATTTCCTACTGACATTAGACAGGATTGACTGCCCTTACGATTGAGGCTTATTAACTGTACTTTTAAACCAGTGTATTCATTATACGTTCATGTCACACATCACTCCCTACGTCACTTTAAATCAGCCGCTCTCTAAAAGCCTCTAACAATTTACAATCTGAAATCATATGCTTGTACACCTGAGATTTACTGTAAGAAATAATAAATATATATATTTAGGAGAGGATGAAGGTCATCTGTGCAGCTCCATATTACTCTATATGAAATTACTTTATTTTGTTGGTCTGTTGTTTTAGGGTAAAGGCTAATTATATTGTATAGACTTAATATGACAATTCTAACAAAGCCAAAAGGTTTCCAAAGAAACAATAACATTATTTTTTGTCCATGGATGTTTATATCAATAAATCATTAAACAGTATGCGGTTCAAGTAATGTAACATGAAAAAGAGCTTTCAATAAATGTGAAAGTAGTTCTGATTTTATATTCAACAGTTAGATTGTACAATGTGCATTCAGATGAAATTAAGACGAATAAACCATTTTAATACATTTTCTATAGTCAGTTTGCCTAAAATGAGACCAAAACCTTGTAAAAGATCAGGAAATAGCGTCAAGCAATTAACCTTCAGGGACCTAATATGTCCCTGAGGAACATTATTAACTGTGCTCTTGTTACCACAACGGTTTAAACATTTGTGAACTTCCTCTGAAAGTAGGCAACAACAATACATTAAAATCAAACTAGTGGGTGTAAAAACTGTTAATGTCATCCAAGCCAAAAGTGCAGGTACTGTCAGCTTTAGAGCTTTTTAACCGATCAAAAGAAGAGATGTTTCAATTTTTGTGGTTTCTGAGCTTGTTATAAATTCTATAACATATATCAAATAATGCACATGTACGAATAAAAAAACAAAGATACCATTTTGACTACGATGACCTGTAGTTACATTAGCATATTTTGTGTAAAAATGTGAACGGGAGACAGCCTGCTTGAATATCCAGTGTAATGTACTATACGGGATGATTGATGAATGGACAGTATGTGGTGTAAGTGAGATGCCGAGTAAACCGCTTTTTGCATCCCTACTTCTTAAATAGATCCTGAAGTTTGTTTTTTTCCCCAAGAGGCATTTATTTACTGGTCTCACACAACTAATTGGTTTCTCCTTGAATAATTCATTTCCATGAAATGACAAAATTGATACAATTCAAAATGTGTGCACATGGACATCTTAATATATGCAGCGGTTGAAGACTATTCAGCCCACTTACACAATGGCTGGCAGTCCCAGTCAAGTACATAATTAGTTGAATTAGATTAAATAACCAATTACGAGACTAACAAAGTAAATAAGCCTGCAGGGATTCCACCAATTGCTTGAGAATAGAATTAAAGTGGAATTAGTTTATTGACAGGCTGAATGACAGTGTGGTCAGACAAACAACTCTATTCCTGTCACAGAGACAGAGTACCGGCTGACGTCCAAGGATGAAATGTATAAGTGTCCATACAGTACTTTAATTATGGTACTTTAATTACATCATTTTAACTCAGTATGAGCTACCATAATGCTCACAAAAGTAAGAGACTATAAGAACATACACCATCGGGGATATTTTTAAACTGGTTAAACTATAAAATACGTTGATATCTAGATGGTTGCAAATTCCACTCCAGTTTAAGATGTGCTGTGGTAATAGCACAGTAAAGATGTCTATAGTGGTATTAGCAAACTGGTCTGTGACTGGGAAAGTCTTGAGACATACTACACAGGCAGGCAGACGTACCTTTGCTAGCGTTCTCCACATGCTCCAGTTCATCTGGAAACCTCAAAATTTCAGAGTAGCTCTCTTCACACTTCTCAGCCAGGAAATGAAGAAGTGTTGTATTCTGACTGACAGATTTAGTGTCTCGGAGCTGAAAAAGATGGAAAAAAAGATTCACAGATGTTTAGAGTCATTTACTTGAGGAAAACAATGTCCCTTCATTTTCTCAGTGAAGGTACATGTTGTCAAACCAAAGGGTTTTTTTTAATCCTCAATACAAGACGCTCTTTTCGCTTAAAATCAGTGACTGTTATAAGTTTTTAAGCATGGTCTTTTGCCTCATTCAGCTCTGGAACATCTGCAGCTTGATATGCCTGCTTCCTTAAATAATCATGTGAATTTTAATTAAAATTGAGTCGATGTAGGCAAGCTTTGAAAAGAGGAAAGTGTTTTTCATCACAACATTTTGGCAAAAACAAAGATTTATATCACTGAAGACTATGATAGGAATGGCCCTTTTACTTAAAAGCAGTTTTTATGTGTTCCTGTTAATATACACGAAGCATTGGCTGTCATTTTGGACCAACTGCATGGTAATAATAATGCAACTAGTAAGATGTGCTTTAGAGAAAGCGAGTGGAAGTGTGGCTAAATTAGATATAATATTAATTGCTAAAACAATATATTTCGTGGGATCAATGTGTTGTATCTCTACATTATATTTTATTGTCCACACTGACAATGTTAAACATAATTGTTTACTCAGAAACACAAGAGGGATTTCTCTGGGGGCTGTTGCTGTACATTCAACAAAATTAGTTCCTAACAAGCCAAAAGCCCAAATTCTGGAGAACTCCAACTCACACTGATTACAATACATAGGGAGAAGGTAAAATAAATGAGACCCCCCCAAAATGTGCAACCAATTACTGAAGACTAAACCGAAACAGATAATAATACACATATGCATGTACAGTATATACACAAATAATAACCCCACTCCCCTGAGAATAAATCGCTGGAGCAGGAAAGTTTGAACAAAAGTAATGTACTGTATTTGCCAAGTGTGTGTGAGTCTGTTCATAAGCTGAAGCTTGGATTCTTCACATCAGTGCATAGAGAACTTGTTCCATATTCATTGCCCACTGTGATTGCTATGCTGTTTGAATGGCATGCTGGGAAAGCTAATTAGCACAGCCCACCTCAGTGTACTCATACTGATAATATCCATCCTGTAAACAGCCTGCAGCTGGACATGCCCACACATGTACGCATGGAAACACGTGTGCTCATGCGCACACATGTAGGGAAAAGAACAGGCAAAGAGACGCTGTCACACGTCAGCTCAAAAACACACACACTGTTGTCATTAGAAGAGGATCAATCATCGTTTCGCTAATCACAACTGAATTTCATGGAAATTTAATTGGTTTATTGTCATATTGCCAAACTGTTATTACTGCGCAGAGAAGAGAAACTTCCAAGATTAGTAATATGTAATATGAGACAATTAAAATATAATAATAATAATAATAACAACAAAAAATGATCCTTATCTGGGGTAATCACAGACCTATAAAACTGCATTGTATTGTTTTTCTTTATTGTATGAGTTTCAACAAGACTGAGGGACACATTCTGTTTATTCTATTTCAGATATCAGACATTATCATCACTAAAAAGTAAGATGATCTGGTCAATGCTGACTGTAGCTGGTATTAGATGTCATTTCTAAAAATAATAATAATAATTTAGAAGACGGTTTCATGAGGAGTTTGGTCAAACGCAGCCAGGAGGTAAACCATGCTGAAATGTGAATGTGTGCCTCACTGTTTATATTTGTGATTATAACACGTCTCTAACACGGTGATAACATGAAAATCCCTTCTGCTGGTAACACGTGTGACTCTGTAACATTACAACTGGTGAACACATAAATGTCTATCAGCGTGTTCTGTTTGCTTTGTAGGCTGGTGGGCACTGCGGTTTCTCAGCCGTCTACGCCTGTGAATTTGACTTTTTGTTCATTCGATGTAACATCGTCAGTAATGGGAACAAAGAGTGCATCTTCAGCTATTCTTCATTATTCTGTTTATTCAATTATCCACCCACACGCATCTAGATCAAAAGTATGTGACTCAATAAAACAGCCGTCTACGTTTATATTTTTGACGGCAGATTATGTCGTCACCGCCTCAATATCTCTGCAACAGGTTGTTCTGTCATTCTATCGTTCACTTATCGATCTAAAGTATTTGGACACTTTAACTGTTTTATCACACATCTCCTTGTTTTGCTTTTCCCACAGGGTAGAGGTTGTCACCGAGGCAGGAGGCTGCCTGTCATCTGAAGAGCATGCAAAGCATCTCTCATTATCCGCCACGTTATGTTCACAACTTCATATTTATTATACACAAATAACACTCATATGCATCTTTTCAAAATAAGAGTATTGAGTGTTTTACTGAGCCCATAATTTTCTAGCAGTAGTAAACGTGTAGAGGATTTAAATGTTGTCTTTAAAAATATTTTAGGGTTTAAATTATTTAACAGAAGACAAACAGCGTGCAGATCATTTTAATTTTTCTCAAATGGGTTTGTTCTTTCTTGTCTGGCATCTAAATATTCCTTCCTGTGCACACAGTTGCTTTCTTTGCAGCACTACTACAGACTTTTGTGCTATCAATTTTGTTTCTGTGTTTTTACTGCCATTAACTGGCCAGCATGTTTGGTTTTGGCCATGGCCTTCATCTTTCTCTTTTACTTATATCTGACCCTCTCGTATGTGGAGCACTTTGGTATACCACTGGTTTTTAAATGTGCTCTATAAATAAAGTTTGTTGTGGTTGTCTGTAAGGTGTTAAATTGATAGTTCTGTATATTTTAGATGTATGCATCTAAAATATTTGCAGCTCCTGATGCACTTCGACCATTCCAACTGTAAAAAGAGCAACTATGCCTTGGATTTATGTTTTGAGCCCACTCAAAGCACTTTCTACTATAAGTCTCATTCATTCACACACACACAAATATATTCATGCAACGTTTTATCCATGGCTAAGTACTTTTTTCAACATTCACACTATGATAGATGCATGAGTGGCAGCATATCGGTATCTTGCATATGGATACTTTGATGACCAATGTATCAACCCACCAACCTTTTAGCTGTTAGACAACCCTCTCTGCCAGCTCAGCTACAACGTACACCCTATATTTATCTTGAACAAATCTAGGACACATTGGGATGATGCGCACATTTGTTATTAAGAATAAGGGAATTATCAGGAAAGAGAGATCTCCATATTATACAGGAGCTGCTTAGCCTTGGAAACCCATGGCACGAGTCTCCTGGTGCACAGTTTTCATGCTGATGTTAACGCCAGAGGACGTTTGAACTCCGCAGTTATTGAGGAGCAGTGCGCTGACTACTTTAACGCACTATGCGCCTCAGCCCTCTTGTGCACTTCATGGCTGAGTGCTTGTGGTCCCTAAATGCTTCCACTTTGCAATAACACCACTCGCACGTCATTATGGAATGATAGGAGGGAAGAAATTTCATAAATGGTCATGCTATTACAGTGCCACACTCAAATTCAGTGAACCTTTCAGAAGGACCCCTTTCTTCACAAACATTTATAAGGGCAGAGCACAGCTACGTGCTCGAGTTCACACACCTGTAACAACGGGGCTGATGAATCTGGAAGCATGATTAGCGTTGTAAGGTGAATTTTCTCTGACATAATAAGACTGAATCCCAAAACAAGCAAAATCCTAGATAGCCCAACGTAGCTGCTTTACTGAAATGAAAAAGAAATCCAAATAATTTGTACTACTTCAATGATTTAAACGAAAAAAGAAAACAAAGCACTACAGCGCCATGTTAAGTACTTGGTAATGGTTTACTATTAAAAAACAAGCAAAGAAAACCCTCCAAGATGAGTCATGTATGGTTGCAAGTATACTGTGTTTTAAAGAGAGAACGCTACAATGCAGAAGGAGTCGTTGGTAGTAGTAACACATCCGGCTGAGGGCCTCTATAAGGGCAGAAGGACTTTGTATAAAGCTCAAGGTGCTGATGTTACTTTCACATTATTTCACATCAGGATTTTTAGTCAATGCAGCTTTGAGGTATCGTGAGAACTGTGTCAGGGGCTGTGCGGTGCCTGGGCACATGTCAAAGTTCAGAGCCATTTTAATCTCAGTCCATGCCTTGCACTGGATATTTGAAAGTCAGTACTAAAAGTGACTTTTACTGTCAGAGCTCCAAGCTGAGGAGCGTCTCCTAGGATATCTCAACTGTTATCTTAGATGCGTTTTTTTAAACTACCCAAATAAAATATTTCGTACAATACAGTAACTACTCAGAACTGAATGGAGTGTAAATACATGTCACTACTTTAGACAAATCTTTTCATTTGAAACAGATTGAAAAAAGCTTCATTACTGTGTTGTTGAAAGCAAATCCTGAACAGTTCTGTCGTTCAGTCTTTCATAACAAAACCTGATTTGAGGTAACACAATTTGAAATCCTTCACAAGTGCATACACATGAGAACTAAGAGTAGCAGGACATATCTCGTGCAAACAAGTTCCCACTTAAATATGTAGATCGGAAATAAATAAATGAAAACAACAGAAAAACTGATAACAGAAAAAGTGGCAGTGGGAATATAGAACCCTCACATTAACAGAGGACTGTCGGCCCTTGATTGCTCAATTTAACTGCTGCAGATGGAGCAGCTCAAAAGACAAATATATTGCATGATTACTCATACAACTAAATATTACACTGGATCATAAGAAACAGAGAAAAAAGCAAAAGCGGCATTTGAACATAAAAGTACACGCAGCTGCTGAGAAAAAAAAAGCTCTACAAATGCACACTACACTAAAATGTAAGGTTTCCTCAACTCCAATATAAATGCTTGTGCTTTGGTGTTTAAAGACACTAGTAATTCTATAAAAAACTGTATTTTTCTACAAGGTCAGAACTCTCAGGTAGATGACTCCATTCCACCAAGTCAAGCGCCTGCTAGACATCCTGTTACGTCTAGCTTAAGTCAAACATGATCATTACCAGGTGTTCTTTATTTGAAAGAACAAATATTCTTTGACTCATGGAGTATTTATACACGTATGACACACATTTAAAGATGCAAACATTCTCTTTCTATAGTCTGAATGACCATGCTTTGTCGAATTTTGCTTTTAAAGTATTTAGTGTAATACAGGTATTCTTTGAGCAATACAGTTACTAAACTTCTTGCAACCCTTTAGCAAAATTTCAGCTTGCTTAATATATGTGACCAGGATATCAGTGAGTACTCCACAGGATAGGAGATTGAACCAGGGGAGTCAAGAGGTGGAAGGTGAAGGTGGGTCAGCCTGTGCCTTTCCTCTTGCTGCTTATTCCCATCATCAACCTCCTCCATGATGAGCCCATTAGGTACCCTGGACCTGCCACCTAGGAGGCCATTTACTTGATTGACTAAAGTGAGAAAGCAGACTTTTTTTCCTTGTCCATCAATAATGGCCAATCAGCCCCCTGAGGGGTTACCAGGCTCTACACTGATATTCCACACTGATTTAGTCAGCTTGCAGGAATACCAAAAGTACAGTACACTGCATCCACCATAGAAAAGCTCTCGCTGTACAAGAAATGTGCAGGATTGCTAACTTCAGATACATGCAGAATGGGGTGGCTTTATAACTCATGCATAGTTGTCTAATATTAAAAAAATCATATGAAGTGAGAGATCATCAGAATACATCAGCTCTATTTTTTTTATTTATTTTTTTTCTATTTTTTTTAACCTCCTAAGACCCGAACTCTTCCACGGCAGCATTTTTAATTTCTCTTTGATATTTGGTCATATTGGAGCCCGATGAATGTAAAAACAAAGAATTACCAGATTTGTTTTTACCTTATTTTTGTTTTTAAGAAAAATAAGAGGCACATATGAGGATATTCGTTTAAAATTTTGATAGAACAGTAGCAGTGTAACGTCCTCGTGAGTGGATATCAGGCCCATGTAGAGCAAAATTCAGTATTTTGGTCTAAATAACCCAAAATGTGATGCCCACATATGTGGACGCAGGTCCCAGGAGGTTAAAGCTGAAACACAGCTAGCAAACAGTAGTTTGACCAAAAAATGAAACTAAACAGAACAAAATGCCCAAAACATATATTTGAAATATTATTTGATTGTTTCTCACCAGTGCAAGATTGCTAACCACAATCAGATAAACCTGCATTAAAGCAAGAAAAACAAAGAGAATGTCTGGTTGGAGTCTTTGTTCCTTCTTTTATGCATTTATGTGTGTAATATATGTCAGCGTGTTTCTTTTGTTCTGTACTTTTGGTTTTTGCGTAAGTACAGAATCATTAGTGGTTCGATATTTTAGTAGATTAGTAATTTTTTTGGTAAACAAAAGGTTGCTGATTCACTTCTAGCCAGAGAGACAAATCCCCTTTGCGGCTGTGTCAGGAAGGGCATCCGGCAAAAAAATCTGTCAAATCAAACACAAAGAACTACCCGCTGTGGTGACCCATTGTGACAAGGGAGCAGCTGAAAAGAGTTTCCCCTTCTTCTACTATGTAAGAGTTTGAGTTGGGAATATGAAAACTCCTTAAAAAGGTGACTTTAGTTGCATAACAAACAAAAACAGATCAGGACATTTTAGAAACGACAAAGAAAAGCAAATTAGAAGCTATTAGAGTGCATTCACAGAGGTGCAGAAAGTCTGTATATAGGTGTCTGTATTTAACTAAATTTATATATTATTATAGATATTGCGATATTGTTCCATTTTAGCCTAAAATATTGGGTGATTACCGTAATTGTCGGGCTATAAGCCGCTACTTTTTGCACAAGCTT